TGTCTGCCTATTACCCCATTGGTTGGGTTTACGGTGAAAAGGAACAGAAAGTAAACTCAGTTGTATCAAGCATTCATTATTATCCCTGCTTATTTCCTTGGTGCCAGGCTTTAGGCTAAATGATTGGCATACACATTCCTTTACTAATAACAAGTTTCTGAGGCAAGGAATATCATGCCCATTTTGCAGAGGGGAAAACTGAGTCTCAAAGAGATTACACTGACTGTCCACATTCACCAATTAAAAAGAGGCCAATCTGAGATTTAAATGCAGGTCTGTCCCACTGAACGTGGCACTGACCCACTGTGTCTTTAGTGGTTAGGAGCCTTCACAGGCAAACAGTTCCCAGGAAAGTTTTCTGCACGAGCCTTGGCACTGTGGCCACTGCCCAAACTCACTTGCCCCTTAAGTATCAGTTTTTCTCTGGGTGTCCTGAAGGATGGTCTCCAGGACACCAGCACTCAGAGGTCATCCTGCAGGTAGGACCAACTACACAATTTGTGGAGGCATAATGCAAAAAGTGTGGGGTTCCTTGTTAAAAAGTTATTAAGAATTTCAAGGCAGTATAGGCAGAGCATTAAATCAAGCGTGGCCTGTGTGAGCGAAGGGCTCTGTGTGTCTGCGCAGGTGCATGCCCATGAGGCCGGTTCGGACTGCAGGACGTGTAGACAGATTGAATGGATTCTAGGCAGGACTACCTCTGGAGTTCCTGGTTGGGGAGTCGGGTGGGGCTTGGGAATGTCCTGTGATGTCACTTCTCCCTCTCTTGAAGTCTTCTCTGTGTGGACTTAGAGTTTCCCAGCTTAGACCCCAATTATGTCTAGGATGGAGAGCACAGTGGAAGGGGGAGAAAATTGACTCCAAAGTCGAGTCAAGATTTTGCCCAGAACACTGGTTCTCAAATGCTGGTTCACAGACCTATTCTGGCTTTGATGAAGTTTTCGCCTCTGTGATGTAAAACAAAAGAAATAAGGACGTGGCAGTGAGGGTTTTTTTGTGTGTTTTTGTCTATAAAGCTAAATTTATCCCATATAATGGATATTCTTTTCTAAGATCATGTTTGCCTAACGATTTTTTTGGTGTTAAAATGTTCTCGCTCTCAAAAAGAGGTACTAATGATACATGGTAGTTGTTTCTGAATCACCTCCACTAGCTGAATAAAAAGTTGAATACTCTACGGCATGATTTCCAATGTTTTGGGGAAAATTTCACGGGCTTATGAAATGTAAAAGTGTAGGAGCTCTTGGATCAGAAGGTGAGGGAGAGCAGCGTGGTATGGTGAAGAGCCCTGGGCTGGGAGCCCCCCTTAGTCTTACGAGACTCGCTTCCCTTCTTGGGGGCCCTTGTCTTTCACTCTACATGGAAAGTTCTGGACCAGACGAGTGCGTAGCCCCTTCCAGCTCAGCATTCTCTGAGAACTCTGCCCACATAGCTCTCATTGCTCAATCACCGTGCGCATTTGGATTACAGACCCAACGGATCCCACTTATCCGATTCATGGAGAAACAATGTAAGGAAATCTGAAACAGAACAACCACAGAAACAACCCAACAGCTGCTCAATAGATGCAGAGACGAGCCCATCATAAAATGTACTATGGCATGTCATAATGGTTGGGATACCAGGAAGAAAGTTCTATCTTAAGTACCATTGACTTAGTTATATCATGTTTGCCAAACAGGCAGTGAACATCTGCTTATTAAAAAAAAATTCCTCTTTAATTCTTTCCTTTAGATTTCATCCTTTAAAAATCCCTTAGGATATGTTTTGCTTAGTCCATCAAGCCATTTTAAAAGGAAGCCTATGAATTATTTCCTGAAGTTTTAAAAAAATATAATAAAATGATTTGCCGATTTAGCATAGAGCTTCAGTCCCAGCCTTATGAATAAGAGGCATTCAATAAATATTTGGTAAATAAATAAATTTTAATAAAAATGTACTTGTATTCTAATTCTGGCACATTATAAACATATCTAGCAACTGCTCTCCTTTTTTTTTTTTTTTTTAAAAAAAGCCAAATTTGCTGTGTATAGCTCTTTACACTCTACTTTGTGCTTCTGAATTGTCAAAACAAACTTAACTGCTCCCAGGAACTCTGATCCAATATCACTGTCAAAATGTTTTACAACGATTTGGCCAAATGTTTGTGGAACAGCTGTGCTACTAGTCTGCCTGAGTCACTTTCCTTCTTTCGTTTTGGCCCAATCCTGTGATTCATCATTCTGCTTTTAGAATATTTGCCTATTTTTAAAACCAGTCAAAGAAGGCAGCCACTGTTTAAAAGTAAACACACCACACATCAACTTGGGGCAGCTCTGTAAGCAGCTTCGCAAGCTCTGAAATTTCTGGCTGGCAGGGATGCCAGCTGAAGCAGATGGCATCGAGCAGTGACATGCGGGACTGGCTTTCAGACTGAGTAGTTTCCTTACATCTGTCTTTGGTTTTCTTGTTCCCACTGCCATTTCCTACTTGGATTAATCCAACTTGATCCCTTCCTTCACAAAAACCTTACTTTTATCTTGCTTGTCTCTCTAAAACATCCATTATGTTTGTTTCTATGTCAATCATTTAGACTTTTTTTTTTTTTTTTAGGAAGATTAGCCCTGAGCTAACTACTGCCAATCCTTCTCTTTTTGCTGAGGAAGACTGGCCCTGAGCTAACATCCATGCCCATCTTCCTCTACTTTATACGTGGGACACCTACCACAGCATGGCTTTTGCCAAGAGATGCCATGTCCGCACCTGGGATCCCAACCGGCGAGCCCCGGGCCCCTGAGAAGCAGAACATGTAAACTTAACCACTGTGCCACCGGGCCAGCCCCTAAACTTTTTTTTTCAACTCAAGGAATCCAGTCTTAAGCCTTTACTTATTTGCAAAATTATCAGCAAGGTCACATATATGTGATGCTACATGGTATGACTATAAATAATGACACAGATTTCTATAGTGAGCTTTATTAATTCTGGGTAGGCCAGGTATTTGCTATTTACTTTACTATAGTAAAGCAAACAAGTAACTTTTTTCTTTCTTTTTTATAATTAAGGTGGAAGGAGTGTGACTTCACAGGGAGCAAGGTGGATTAAGTCCAGGAAGCTTTGAGTTGCATTCCTGGCTGTCTTGGAATTCTAGAATGCACTGTCTGCTCTGGTACTTTACAGAACTGGTCTCTCCTAAGGAGTGCCTGCTCATCTGTGATTATTAGGGTTGAGATGCCAAAGTATAATATGTTCACATTTACCCATGCCAAATTGTCCTGGCCTTAACTCAATGAGCTAAAACAATCATGATGTCTGGGCTGTTGATACTTTATTGAAGTAAATTTAAATGCACCTCAGACCAAAATCAGTTTTACAAACTATAGGTTTTATAATGAAGCCCACCTCTAAAGGGTCAGTGGCAACAAGTGAATATTTCTCTTTTGTCCAATTCTCTGCAAATAACAAGATGAATTTAAAAAGCCATTGGCAGAAGTTGTCACGTCTACTCTGAGTAGGAAGAGAACATTCAAAGGGCCTGGAGATTGGATCTCCTTGTTGCCTCTAAGACAGTCCTCCAGCCTGCAGCAAGGGTCTTGGGAAGATTGCCCCATTTCTACTTGCTCAGGAAGCTAAACGGTGTCAGTGAACCTGTGGGCATCCATTGTCTGGCACAGGTACAGGGACAAATGGATTTACATTGCATGAGACATTGTCATTATCTTAAGCCACTTTTAAATGGGAGTGTTATTGTACTATTGACTAAAATATACCAGAGGCTATGAAGTGACGTGACCCTTGAGGTGTTTGGCAGAGGTTAATACTGTCCTTGTTTGAATTATCTTTCTGGTGATTATTTTCAGCGCCTTCAAAGAAATGTAATCCCTTACAAGCCAGGAGCTCCTTGTGTGCTGCATTTTATTCTGGAATGTGTTCTCCGTGAGTAGGGAGAGGATACTTGCTCCTGCACTGTGTATGGCCCGTATCACTTCCTCTAGTTCAAAGAGAACATCAACAGTTTTTAGAAATAAATTTGATTATGGTAGTGGGAGCACAAAACCTATTATCTTTCCTTTCTTTATTGTAATTTAAAATAGCTTTGGTCTTTATTTATTCCTGTAGCCTGTATTTTGTCTTATTCTCACCGTCCTAGGTCCTGGGGTTGGTGTTGTCAACAAGGAGGGGATTGGAGAGGAATGGCCAATGGTCTGCCTGGAGAGACAGAGGTTCTGCTGACAAGGGGGCTGTCCCCTAGAGCCAGGGCTCGGTCAGTAGGATTTTCATGAAGAGATTTGTGGGTGACTTGGATATTTGAGGCCAAACTTCTCTCAGGTTTCCTCTGAGGTTTCTGAGAACTGCATCTTTTCGTCCAGCAACACCTGCCTATTGTGAGTCAGTGAGTTGAAGACAGAATTGCCCACTCTCTGAGCTCAGGCTCTCCCACAGCAAGGCAGTGGACTGAGCCCCAGGTTGGGAGTGCTGCTTGTTACCCACAGTAACCCAGAACAAGGCTCTGGTTAGCTGCCTGTTAGTGGTGGTTTGTGGTAAGAGCAGTGGGCAAAACCGTCAAAACTTGCCACCGTTGGAGTCACTCAGAGCAGAACGAACGCTTCTATTTTCACTGACACATTCTTGTCCCATTGAGACTGTGCTGGTCACCTCATTAGCACCTTGTTAAAGTGCTTTCCTGCAGATCATATTTTTTGGTTTTGGCTCACGTAGGAGTATTGAAAGACAAGCAGCACTTGTTAACTGGAGAGCTCCCAGACGGAACATTGGAGGATGCTGATATTTGTTTGCAAAATTTTGGTGAGGCCAGCTAAGCTGTCTGTGCTTCTGTTTGTAGTGACAATGAGCAAAATTGTCTTCTGCATTCTATCTGTCCCCAACTGAAGTGATGGAAATAACTGAAGCGGTATATACTGAGGGTTTAACGACGAAGTCTAAAGATGGTTTAACAGCAGGACAACTCTTGTGAGAGAAAGGACCCTATAGTGAAGAATCCTTTTATTTTCATGTTTTAGATGATGCACCTCCTGAAGACGCCATTCCTCTGGTCTTTCCAGAATTAGAACAGCATCTACAGGTAAGGATTTTTCTAGAGCCTCTCTTCTTTCCTCCTCAGTTTCACAAAATATGGTAAGCTGGGGAGTGGCCCAACTAGGGAAGACTGACTTGGAGATAGAGAGGGGAGCCTTCAAGTCATCGAGGTTTGCGTTTCTAGAGCTCCAAAGTCAGGCTGAAGCCCTCACACAATGTCCCTGCCAGGTTATCCAGCTACAGCACCAGAATACCATGAATTTATAGTATAAACTAGCTCCCACTTCTAAGGAGTTCTGAAGCCTGGGAACACGGCTGGTCCCTGCTCTTCTTTGCTGTGCACGTCTCTAAGCATTGCAGGTTTGACCTGTTTGGGGGTAGAGATTAAATAATCAACTGTGCAAAGGAGATTTGTCTTGTGTGGCAAGATTTCAGAAGAATCTTCCTTTCTCTACTCCAGCCCCCCACCCCTCCCCAGTTCTCTAACAACTTTTCACAGAATATAATTATTTTAAGTTAAACCTTCTGAAAACTGTCTGGTTTGACCCATGAGAAAAATATTTCATATGCGTAGTCTATGGATGACCTATCCAAGATATCCCATTTTAATGCATTAGCATTATTTGAAAGGAACCAATTTATGACATTTAAATCTTTTTTAGTTGACATATGGTGATTCCAGGCAAAGATGGCTTTAGGAAGAGGTTCTGCTTAAAATACCTGGAAATTGGCCTTGGGGCAGACGTTCGCTTGAGTACTTCACTTTGCAGGCACATTTGGACAAGTCTAACAGGAGTTTTGAATCCTGTGCACAGACGTTTGCTTGGTCACCACTTTTTCCCCTAAATATTGATTTTGAAAGACTTTAGGAGGGGTCTGCAGCCTCCAGTTTCCAACAGGCCCTGAAGTTCCCTTTCATCTTACACCCAGTAGTTTTTCCCATTTATAGGTGTTCCTGGTATCCTGAAGTCACTTGAGTTTGGGACCCTTGGTCCTGAACAGCCCTGGACAGAGGTGGGAAGAAGCCAGAATGAGCTGTCATGCAGCCCAAGATGGGGTCACTTCGTGTTGGCTCCAGTTCTTATCTCAGCACCCAGTACACTGAGTTAAAAACCTGGTAGCAACTAGGTGAGGTTGGAAGAGCTGGTGCTCCACTGCCGGGGTGGCCTCTAAGGATCAACCGAGCACAACAGGTGTGATTGGGCTTGTTGCAGGAGCCCTCATTCTCACCTCGGCTGTAGTCCTGGGCATTGTCACAGGCCTCCAACAGAGAGCCTGCTCAACAGAGCAATATCAGTTGTGTAGACATTACTGAAGATTGTCCACAAGGTGGACTGATCACCACATGTGTTGTTAAAAGACAGCTTTGTTCTCCTCTAAAATTTCCTCTGCAGCTATTAGCCATCTTATCTCTGTCTTCTCCTGTCCCCCATGCTGGGTCTTCAAATAGCTGTCCTGGTTCCCGATGTCTAACCATATCCCCCAAATCACTTCCTTTCATCGTGGAGAACAATTCAGCTGTCCCCCTGCTTTTCCGCCTGGCATGCTCACATGACATACAACCTTCCTTCTTAGGCTCTATCCTCACAGCAGGGCTGAGTATGTGCTGCTGGTGATGTATTGGGATTGTAAAATAATAACTTTATTCTTTCCCCAGTCACAGTTTCTTTCTCCTTTATTTTTTATTTATTTTTAGGATCGGCACCTGAGCTAACATCTGTTGCCAATCTTCTTCCTTTTTCTTTTTCTTCTCCCCAAGGCCCTCCAGTACATAGTTGTATATTCTAGTTGCAGGTCCCTCTGGTTGTGCTATGTGGGAACCCGCCTCAGCATGGCTTGATGAGCGGTGGTGCCATGTCCACACCCAGGATCTGAACCGGCAAAACCCTGGGGCATCAAAGTGGAGTGCACGAACTTAACCACCCGGCCACAGGGCCGGCCTCTTTTTTGCCTTTATTTTAACAGTCACCTCAAAGCTATTTTATTATCATGGAAGTTAGATGAAAAGAAGGAGTAAACATGTTTTGAAAACAAAACATTAGAAACATATTCCGGTTCTTGTTCCTCCATCAAATAATGGATCATTAAGTATACTTTTTTGTATTGACAGCACAATTTTTTTCCTCTGGGAAGGTTGACAGTGTTCCCTGGCTCATGGATCATTCTTCACAAAATTCATAGCACTCCTGGCAATTATCCAGATAGTTTTTCTATTAAAGCATCAAATGGTTGACTTTTATTGCTTTTATTCCATTTGACATATATTAGAAATTGTCTGTTTATTTTAATCCAATGAGACGATTTCATCTTCACTGATCTTTAATGACTTAGCCAGTTGAGGGGCTGGTTTCTGACTCATGAGCTTTGGTCCTCTCCCCCTTAAAATATGATGTTGCTTGACCTCTTCATGAACGAGAGAACATTCCTAGCATTACATCTAAAAGCATTTAACTAAGTGCTTGTTTGTTAGGTGAAGGGTATGATTGAATTTGTTACAAACATTTGCCAGTTGACAAGTCACTTAGTTAGAGTTGCCTGTGTCTGAGACTGTGGCCTGTTACCTTTATTCTATGCACCCAGGCATGAGTGTTTAGAAAAAAGCTGACAAAGTTCCAGAGGAGAAAGCTAACCCAGAAAAGTACATGGAAATGCAGATTCTTGTTTCCATGCTTGGGATAAACATATAAATTTAAGCCATTCTGCAGCAGGAAGTGCCTGTATTGAAAGCAATGAAAATGCTTTATGGACGAGAGGAGCAATCCATTCCATGGAGCAGGCCGTCTTTACAGTCATTCTCATGTGCTTTCATCTCCAAGTAACGGCTCTTGGAATTTTACCAACCATCAGAATCCTCTACGGAAGAATAAAAGTTAGGTTACAAAGGCATATGAAGCGTCTTCTGGTTGTCACTCTTTGCTTAAGGATGAACCGACTCTTGATGATCTCTACTGGAACCTTAAAAACTTGCCTAGTGAAAAATAAATGATGCCAGGTGATTCTTTCCAGGCTTCCTCTCTGCACACCCTCAGATTTAAATCCCACCCATGCGCATTGAGTCTCGACTAGGTGAGGGGTGTTTCTCTGCAAATGATCTCATTTGATCCTTGCAACCACTGTGTAAGCTAACTCTTATGGCTCCACTTTAGAGATGAGAAACAGGAGGCCTAAGTTTGGTCTAAATAAATTTTCTAATTCAGACCAGCTCTCTGTTTCTGAATCTAGGTGGCTTTCTTTCTCTTACACCTCTTGTAGAACTTCTGGACTGCTTCAATTACTTTGAGAGGTGGAGATTTTTTTGTTTCTGGTTTACTACGTTGCCATAATGTAGTTATAGAAGAACCTTCTAAAATCTGTTCCGACTTTCTGATATCCATTACGCATTCTTTCATAGTTTATAAAATGCGGCTATAAAGTATCTGTTTGGTAGATACTCCATCACCAATTTGACCCCCAAGATTTTTCTGTTGCTTTGCCAAGAATGTGGACATGTTTGAGCATGTAATTCGCCGTGCTTCTATTTTCACAGAAGCCATAAAAAGCCTTGTGCAAGAATAGCAGCGACAAACATTTCTCTTGATGTCTCTATTAATGCAGAATGTTGAGCAAGACACTTTGGGGTCAGGTAGGTGTTAAAATGAACATCTCGTTATAATGTTCATTTGTGGGCCTTTGGCCTCAGCCCAGGGGCAGGTGTTAGGTTGATTCTATTTTGTGCAGATTCCTATCCTGGAACTTGGTTTCTAAATTCTCCATGCCTTTTAGATGCAGTATTTGGCCAGAGCTGGTTTCAACCATAGAGTCAAAAGAAGGGAGGCCCAATTCTATGTCCACTTCTAAGAATGAATGAAAAATCGTTACTTTTCTTTAGGCCTCAGTTTCTTTCTATTTGGAAAAGAGGTAATGACTGACCTTTCTCTCTATTCTGAGGGAGGGTCCAATCCTTTAATAGTCCCAGCGTTTGGATCAGGACCAAGTTTGTCTTAAAATTTAACCACGTTGCTATGTTTTTGGGACTGTGGTTTGATCTATGGATGATCCAAAGCTACCCTATAATGTAGTCTTAATCGCAGTGGAATGAGGAATACGTTTTTATAATCTGGTAGAGGACATGCTAACGAGTAGATTGTGATAAACTCCCCAATGGGAATTTCAATGACTGGAGCACGGGCATTGGCATTAGATTGGGTGCATTTGATCTCAGCTTCATACCTACTAGTTTATGATTTGGGGCGTGTTGTTTACTCTCTCTAAACCTCACCTGGAGAACGTGGAGGTAACAATGTCTATCTCGCGTTGTTGTTGTGGGAATTAAATGTGATCTAGCACAGTGCTTGGCAAAGATAATTGCTCAATTAATGTTAATTTCCTTCCCTAGTGAAATCATTTATTGAACAAAATATTTGAGAACAAGTAATTTATCTTTATATGTATAAACTGAAATAAAAGAAGCATCTCTTCGGATTTTGGGGTTAGGAATAGAGGTTCTGTTGCCCACTTCTTTTCACTAAGCTAAAGCACTTGGAAAACAATATGACTTTTTTTTTTTTTTAAAACCAAATTGAGCAATAGCTTCAATCCTTCCTAACGTCCTCCCATCTAATCTGAGAAGACAGTGACAGGTGTCTGTGGTACACACTGAACTTGCCTTTTCTCAGACAGACTCTGATAAGTCCAGAAACTGATGTCACCTCCACAAATAAACAATTTCGTAGCTTCAGTTGTGTACCATAATATCTTGTTATCCGAGCAGTCACTCCAGAAACTTCTTTTAGGTCTTGCATCAACATATCGCTTGATATCTGGGAAATGAAGGTGGTAGAAAATGAAGTCTTAGCCTTCCAGGATTCCACTACACTGGTCTTGAACAACATCCGGAAATGCATTTAGGAAATAGTTCCACAGAAAGCACAGCAAGTGTCTGTAATTCTCTCTCTCACACACGTTGAAAAGTATCTTACAGTTGTCCCTTGGCTGTTATGACCACACAGAAAATATATATAGATACCTTGGAACTTTACAATGCTACCTTTTTATATTTCTATTTTT